TACCCTAGATTACACATCACACCAGGTAGATTTGATAGTACTGCTACGTATTGTATGTTATTGTCAAACAAAGTATCACTCATTCACTCAGTATCTGTCTATTTTTCTGAGATGAGGTATTATGTACACTATATACATTATTCAGACTATTGTCCTCATCTTTGTCACCATGTTTATCACAACGTTTCGGCCATTGTACGCTCTGGCTTTCTTCAGATGTTTGGAATGTCGAACTGAACCTTTTATTTCTCTCACTGGGGTAGACTGTTCTAGTTCTATGCCTAATGGATTTTTGCCATCACTCTACAAATAGATGCATAAATTTTACTTGACCATATGTACAAAACTTTTACCGTGAAAAGCTCTATTCCATTTTAATTAAGAATTTTAGGAATCCTTCCTGTTGTCATTTTTGTCATTTAGCTTAAGTTCTTAATCTTGATTTTATTGTCAGGATTCATCACAGCACAATTTAAATTACAAATGCAAGTGGAATTCCTCATTTTTCTTCAACATCACATCTGCTTTATTTTTCTCAAGTTCAATGCAAATCTGATTCAGCAAAACAAATCCAAACATCAATTCACAAGAACAAGTTGTGTTCTTAGATAAAAAGTAAAATTAAATTTACTTTGTTTCTAGATTAAATTTCTTTTAATTATATAAATTGAATTATCTTGATTCTTGGAAAGGAATAAAACAAAACTATTTTTTAATACTAAAATCTCATCTTTTACAATATACTTATCTTGCTGAAGCTAAATTATAATGTAGGTAAATATTATTAATATACTTCTATAGAATTTCTAAGCCTTTCTCCACTCAGTTGGGTTTATGCTACCTCAGAGCCAAAAGATCATATACCACTTATTTGAAATGCAAAACCCTGAATATATATATATATATATATATATATATATATATATATATAAGAATTTCCAGTATCATTGTCTTGACCAACTACTGTAACATAAGTTCCCAGTACTTTTTTGATAAGTACTTTCATGGTAATTGTTCTAATGAAATTTTCCCTATGGTATCTAGACTTTATGAATTTAAGCACAATACAAGATTGGAGTAAGACCTCACAATTTTACTGTTGAATTGGATATAACAGTAACTTCTATGCTAACAGTTTCTTCTCTCACATTTCTCACTTGTAGAACTCTCTTTCAGGTTTTTGCTTTCCAGTCAATTTTGATCTTCAAAAATTTAATGCAATCTCAGTTGATATCTTCTGTCTTCTTAATTTCCATTATTTTATTGTTCTGTCTCCTTAATAATGTTTTTGTTATATTCTTTCACAATCAGTAACACCCTGCATTTTAGTGACTTTGTTGCCTTGCTTGGGGTGAAATGATTAAAAAAATATAATAGAATTTCTAAAGAATTAATGAATTTACTCTTAATCCAACATTTTTGTCATTTCAGACTTTATTATAATGGGTGCTTTGTTTAATAAATAAATACAAAATTCTGATAATAACTTATTTTTGTATATTTGTGAGTTTGTTACCATTACAGAGCAAAAGTAGCATATCACTGCAAGATGTTTTTTTTTAGCACAAAACTATAAAAATACTCTCACTTGAAGAATACAGCAACTTTCATTCAGATTTAAAACTTAACTTACAACTTAAATATATTGTACCCACCCCAAATAATTCAAGACCTTTTCTGAAAATGTTTACACACTGTCTCTGTACTGCCATAATTCTAAAAGTACAGGGTACGATGGATAAACTGTCATTTAAATTATGCAAACAGATAATTTTAACAGATACGTTTAGCAAAGTTGCACAAAAATATCTTGAAATACTAAAGAGTAAATTTATTCAATAAAATCACCATTTGCTTCAACCACGACCTCCAGATGACTTTGAAATCTCCTACAACTCTTCTGGATGGCATCCTTGTTTAAGTTAGTGAATGTTGCCATAATCCTTGCCTTCAGTTCATCTTTGGTGTTACAAGGAATTTTGTTGGTCTCTCACTCAAATGCACCCCACACATAATATTCAAGGGGGTTGCACTTTGGGGAGTTAGGTAGCCAGATGTAAGGGGTGATGTAGTCACAGAAATTGTCTTACAGCCATAACTGTGTTCTCCTGCTTGTGTGGCATGGTTCAGAAAGTCCTGTTGCTAGACATATGGTCTTCCAGCAGCTATCCTCTTGACCCAGGGAAGCACTACCCCCTCAAAGCACTTGATATAGGCTTCTGTGTTGAGTCTAGGGCCCTGTGGGAAGATGAGTGGAGGCATAATGTTGCCATCACCAGTGATCCCTCCAAACACCTTCGTAATCACAATTAGACTCATTCAACTCTTTCCGAATCCTCTGCACTGTCCTCATATCAACACCCAAACACCCAGAAATGTTCCTATTGGAGCTTCCAGCACAGATGCCAAGCAGTAATAGCATGCCATTTCCAAATTTCTGGTGGAGTGAATTGCATCATGGTGCTCTTTTTCTCACAGACGGTGGCCCAACTGACCCTACTATACTGTGCAGTCAACAAAATAAAAAATAAACAACATGCATGGATAAAATTAAAAATATAAAATGGCAACTATTTACCCATCGCACCCTGTATTAATTAAATATGTTCAATTTTTGTATATAGCTACAATTCAAAAGAACTAAGGAACAGTATCTGTCTATATTTCTGAGATGTGGTATTATATACACTACTTACATTATTCGGACTATTGTCCTCATCTTTGCCGCCATATTTATTACAACATTTTGGCTGTTGTATGCTCCGGCCTTCTTCAGGTGGTTGGAATGTCGAACTGAACCCTTTATTTCGCTCACTGGGGTAGACTGTTCTAGTTCCACGTGCCATGTTTAATGGATGTCTGTTATCAGTTATCTCCTGTTAATTCCCCTCAGAAAGTTCTCCACTGCCTTAACCGAGTATTGAACTCACACTCTTTGGGTCTAGTGTCATTGTTTATATATGTCGTTGTTGAATTATGCCCATGATTAGTTAGGACTGACAGGCCAGAAATTAATTTTGCAGTCTTTTTTTTTTATCTTTCCTTAGGTATTATTATATTTTTTCTATATTTTTTCATGGTTTCTTTATATTTAATACCAGATATATATAATCTTTCTACATATACTTTTATTTATTATCTGTAAGTTTGTCAGAATTAAGTCAAACACTGCATACTACAGTGAAGTTAGTTTAATATTTGCTAAACATACAAAAAACTAAGTATAGGTGCTCAAAACAGAAAAAAAATTTAGTTTGCAAAACATACTGAAATAAATGCAAATGCAAAAAAATTTATTTACCAAGCTAGGAAGCACTTATGTTGCCAGACATGGAGCAGTCATAGCTAGATACAAAAATTTGGAGTCCTGTTCATAAAGTCGAACAGTTGTAAGTTTTGATCTCAGAAGAGATCAAAAATACTTGGATAAGAAAAAGACTATGACACCTTCTTTGATGAATTTCATCTTAACAACAAGGAACTGATGAGAGAACTGGAAAGGATCAGTATAAAAATAAATAGACATAATATGTCTATACTATTCAAGGAAACATATATATATATATATATATATATATATATATATATATATAGATAGATATAGATAGATAGATAGATAGATAGATAGATAGATAGATAGATATAGATAGATAGATAGATAGATAGAGAGAGAGAGGATGGATAGATAGATAGGATGGATAGATAGATAGATAGATAGATAGATAGGAGGATGGATAGAGAGAGAGAGAGAGGGAGATAGATAGATAGATAGATAGATAGGAGGATGGATAGAGAGAGAGAGAGAGAGGGAGATAGATAGATAGATAGATAGATAGATATAGATAGATAGATAGATAGATAGGAGGATGGATAGAGAGAGAGAGAGAGGGAGATACATAGATAGATAGATAGATAGATAGATAGATAGATAGGTATTAATGTGGATAAACCAAATAAGTAGATATTAGCAATCATATACATGTGTGTTACCATGCATACACAGTTAAGTGAATAAATATTTACTCAATTTAATACAATATAAGGTGTAAACAAAACTGTGTGGTTAGACAGACCTAAGAAGTATATATTAATAAATATACATATACTTACATAGGTACATGTATATTTATTAATATATATATATATATATATATATATACAGGAGATCCTCAATTTACATCAGAAATCTGTTATTTATATATATATATATATGCACTACAATTCAAAAATTTGAAGCCACCTCTGGTAATTTTTTAATTTGGCCCCAAAATAGTTGTTTTATGCTTTAAATAAGAGAAAATTAGTATACATGGTTAAAAAAATGAGACATGATTTTTTATTAGAAATTTTATTATGACAAAAAACAGCATTTTATGATTAAATTTTGCTCTCATCAAAATATCCTCCTTTAGCCTTGATTTCTGAAGCACAAATTCTTGGCATTCATTGAAAAAGTTTCTCAAAGTATAAGCTTGATAACTGATTTCACTCTTTTTTCATTGACTTCAAGAGCACATTTTCTTTTAGTCTTTTTTTTTTCACTCTTCTGTCAAGTTTATCACATACTATTTCTGGATGTGGCTTCAAACCTTTTGAACTGTAGTATATATATATATATATATATATATATATATTACAATTTAGTTTTATGTATATCACATTTTCTACATTCATTTTTTAGGTTTTCATTGTCCTTCCTTTTATTCTACTAAGTTATTAGTATATCATGAATACACTAATGCCTATAGTGGACCTTGGAGTCTGATAAAGATCAACATATTTTCCCTCTTTTTCCAAGTTCTCCATTATTAGTATATAATTTCCAACTTAAGATTTTGGAATACAGAATTTAATAGGTAGATGAAAAATATTTTTCAATGATGTTAAATTAATCCAGACTCCTGAAAATATTTGAAATAAACTCTCCATGATTTTGTTTTTTTTTTTAATTATTTTTTTGTTTCTTACTGAAGTTAATAACTTATTTTTTCCATTTCAGAATGAGAACTGTTTTTTGTTTGTGGAAGTTTTTTCCTGGAAGCTGATCTCTGCCCCTAAAGTGTTAGAGAATCAAACCCAGCAACTGCCTGCCCACATTACGGAAGTGGAATACCAGACCAATTTAAAAGGTGGGAGATTTTATTTTAAAAAAAGAAACAAAAACAAAAGAAAAATAATCTGATGTATAGGACAAAGAAATTGATGATTAGGGTTTTTCTTCTATCAGATTATGTGAATCAAATTTTTTAAATGAAAACACGAAAATTATTAGAAAGTAGGTTTACAAAAAATTGGAAACTGTAAAAGACAAAAGCTTGTAAAATCAATGTGAATACACATGAACATGTTCCTGCTTTGTCATTTGATTGAAAACTAGAAAAAGAAAACCTGAACACAAATGCTTGCACAACTCTCATTCAGGTACTCCAGAAAAAAGAAAAAATGATCAACACATTTCATTACTCCGGGAAATACCTAACTCTTTCTACTATACTCTATCTTTACAAGAGTCAAATTAGACCAAAAACGGAGTATTGTTGCAATATCTGGGTTGGAGCTACTCTGTCCTCACTCTCCAACCTTGATATGTTGCATTCTTCTCTCGCTCGTTTTCTCCTGGCTGGGTGGCAATATGTTTTGGGCTCCGGAGATGAAAGAACTTCAACACAGGGAATTTTAACTCAGCTATTTTATTAATGTTGACGTATACATTCCTACCACTCCAGTGGGTTTGCTCTCGCTCCACTGTGGAGACACTTCTGACAGAGAAAACATATCCATAATGTTTAACAGTTCAGAAACAACTACTTGAAATCCCTTTCTCTATCTATCATTCTCATGCTGGCTCAGCCAATCAAAATTGATTTCCTTGTTTTGTCTTCCATCTGACCTCAAAGGTCAACCCCAGGAAGTCAGAGCAGTGTTACACTGCCTCTAAAATATAATAATCTGGTAAACTATTATTTAACATATAGAGTTCAAAATCATTTGGACAGGTGATTACCATCTCTGCAGCCTCTTTCCTGCAGAGGCCCTATCGCAAGCCTATCACGACTCTATTGCTATTTACATATTCAATGACCTCCATTCTTTAGTAGCACCAATTCAGACCTTTATAGCTAGGGGATGCCATGCTACTGCCAAGGATTTTAAAACCATCTTTTTCTCCATATTTCCAATATAAGGGGAAGTTTCACAGTTCCCAAAAAATTCAGCTTTGTCGAACATATTACCATGTGAATGTTTGTAGTAAAATAAACACAAAAATTGTCTAACATTTGGATATTTTTTTTTTATTAAGCTGGTCCTTGATAAACAAATGTAGCATTATTAGAGATTATGATGTCAATTGTTTATCACGGACCAGCTTAATAAAAAAAATATCCAAATGTTGGACAATTTTTGTTTTTATTTCCATCCAAAACTAAAGCAACCATACAAAGTTTAGAACAGCTCATGATCAAACATAATAGACAGTCATTGTCTGTTATGTTTTTATATATATATATATATATATATATATATATATATATATATATATGTATATATATATATATATATAAATTTATATATATATATATATATATATATATATATATATATATAAATAAATTTATATATATATATAAATAAATTTATATATATATATATTTATTAAAGACATTTTTATGTTTAACGTTCTTTTTATAGATACAAGTATTTAAGTAAATGCTCTGTTTATAATAAACAGTATTAAATAACATTTACCGGCCTGAATGTCCGAGAATTTTTCATAGAAAATATTCGTCCTTTGACGGTTCAGTATATAGGATGCAGGTTCGAATCCTGTCAAAGAACAAATATTTAAGAACGTTAAACATAAAAATGTCTTTAATAAATAAATTGTCCGACTTTTGTCCATTTTTAACATATATATATATATATATATATATATATATATATATATATATATATATATATATATATATATGTATGTATGTATGTATGTGTGCATGTGTTTAGAGTATTAAATGATTTACTTTTTACAGCTTATCAGCCCGATGCAGATTATTTAAGGTCAGAAAATATTTTTGACATAGAAGATTGCTATGCGATTATAATGGTCGCAGAATAGCAAATGCAGGTTGTAAATTCATGATGCATTATCATCAAATAGCAATCTTCTATGTCAACATAACCAAATATTATCTTTGATGGTGAATATCTTTGTTTAAATGTCTATATAACCACTCTGAAGATGGCTTATGTGAGTCGAAAGTTTAGATCAAGGACCAGCTTAATAAAAATATCCAAATGTTGGACAATTTTTGTCTTTATTTTCACCCAAAATTAAAGCAAACATATCAAGTTTAGAACAGCTCATGATTAAACATAATAGACATTCATTGTCTGTTATATTTAACAATATGTATTTAAATAATGACCTGTGCCCAATAATACATATATATATATATATATATATATATATATATATATATATATATATATATATATATGCATATTATGAAATGGATTGTCTGACAATTATTTAATATATTTTCTGTTTATATGGTATATATATATATATATATATATATATATATATATATATATATATATATATATATAGTTTATTTAGGTCAATGCTCCGTTTTTTAGTTAAACAGTATCAGTTACATTTACCAGCCTGAATGTCCAAGAAATTTTGTAGATAATATGCACTCTCTCTGGCAGGAATCAAACCTGTAACCCTGATGATCATTTGATCTGTTGTACTGTTAACAATTCAGCCACAAAGAAGTGTCCAGTTATCAAAGTCCAAATTACTGTTTATAAACACACACCTTCAGCAATTATTCTTGATCACTCATACCTGCTCATGAAACATATCTTAACATAAACAATGACAGCATATTATACTTACATAAATTATATCTGTAAAAATAATGTATGAAAAGAAAATATATTAAATAAATGTTGAAATTAATACATTTCATATGTTGTCATTTTTTTTATAAAATTTTATATAAAAATAAATAGAATGAATAATCTCCCTTTATGTTTAATATAAAATAATAATCTCCCTTTATGTTTAATATAATATAATTTTCTGCACCATTCATGCAAATTTGTTTGTTCTGATGGTATTAGGATCCTTATCAGGCATTTTACATTTAGCTACTGCTGTAGAATACATGCCAGCTGCTTCCAGCACTTTGTGAACTTTGACAACAAACAACCGTGTAAGTTTCAGGAAGATATCAATCTTTAAATCAATATGCTCTGCTTTTAAGGCAATAATTACAGTGATGTTTGCCATTATATATCTGAAAAGAAATGATTATGAGAACAAGTTAGAAAAAGGTTAGCGCTATTAAAAGGCATCTCCTCAAAGAACTGAGCAACCCTATATACAATCGATGAAATAACACTTGGTTTAGAAAGAAATATTATCAGATAAAAGTCCATTGATTCCTGAGAAATTTCTTTGTCTATATTTCAGAAATGGAAAAGACTTGAACAAAAGGATGTGCATTCTTTGAAAGGTTAACTGAATTTTGCTGGGATGTAACACTCTCTGTGGCCAAGTGGTCTAAAGTATTCTGGATCATACTGTGGTTTCTCCTACAAAGTGGGGTACATGTCCTAACCCTACTGGCAAGCACATCCTCTTTATTAAGGCTCTCAAATGTACAGGCCAGTTGATGTTATTCACCCTGTTTAAGAAAAAAAGGCATGGTATTCACTCAAACATGTCTATCCACAAAATAACATTTAGAGTAGTCAGAAATAATGTCAGATAAAAACATCTGCTGATTAGAAAATATATATATATATATATATATATATATATATATATATATATATATTTGTGTGTGTGTATTGTGGGGTCAGTCTACCTGGATTTTATGAGGAAAAATAATATCCGTATCCAACACAAGTTTTATATCACATGAAGAAATGATCTTTGCGGAGAAGGAAAACCAAATTAAATATGTTAGTAACATTTATACAGTCAAATACATTATTTACATATTAAAAAATCAATGTTCTTTGTTGTGACCATGAAGAGACCAATAGTTCGATTGTTTGAAATTTGTCACAAGTGCATCTGCAAAGCTTTGAAGTGTTTTATGGCCATGAAGAGATCAATAGTTCATTTGTTTGAAATGATTTGTTACAGGTGAGTCTGCAAAGTTTCTAAGTGTTTTTCTGGTCATGAAGAAACCAATAGATTGATTGTTCAAAATGATTTGTTGCAAGTGAATCTGCAAAATTTTAGAGTGTTTTTTTTTTGTCCATGAAGCAACCAATCCAATAGTTTGATTGTTCAAAATGATTTGTTGCAAGTCAATCTGCAAAGTTTTGGAGTGTTTTTGTGTCCATGAAGAGACAAATATTTTGATTGTTCAAAATGATTTTGAGTGAGGAAATCAAATGGTATGGCATGCCAATATGTGTGCATGAAGCACATGCTAATAAAATATGTGTGTGACTGCTGATAGAAGTAATTTTAAAACAAGGTGAACAAATAGTGGGGATACAAGATTTACTTTCACCGTGGCATTGTATGTAGAAAAATCATCGCTGATATATACGTTGTTATGGTAATGCATGTCTAAACTGTTGATCAAGATTGGTCTTGTTCGCTGACTGTATTTTGTGGACTGTTACCACTGTGTCATTGTAGATCTGGGCATTGACTGTTGCTGACAAGCTGTTTTTATTGCCATGGGTCGGGTCCGGATCGCTATCTGAGTTTTGTCCAGGAATGTGCTCAGTAATCCATGCCTGAGCTTTTTCCAGGTCATTTAGAGTTCAATTATGCAGACGTAGTAGACAGCACATCATGTAACTTGTCATATTCAATCAGGTTCCAGAAACCACTTATTTAATTTGGAGCCATGCTTGAACAAAATTTTTAAAAATTTTTTTTGTATCTACTTAGTTTAGTAAGATTTATTTGAAAGCGTCTCTTACCTGCTTGTGCTTCACTTCTTGGTTATGAAATATAGAACTTTATATCCTATAATAAAAATACAAGGAAAATCAAAAATTATCTGCACTCTTGTCTAAAGATGTTATGGCAAATTTGCAGATAATTTTTGATTTTCCTTGTATTTATATTATAGGATATAAACTCCTATATGCTATGGCCAATAAGTGAAGCACAAAAAAGTAAGAGACACTTACAAATAAATCTTACTAAATTCTCATATATATATATATATATATATATATGAAAACAATTCAAATATTATTGGGATTTTGGCTTAAAGATATGTTAGAGCAAATTTATGGATAATTTTTTTATATAATATATATATATATATATATATATATATATATATATATATGCAAAACTGATTCCAGCAAATGTGGAAGCAGCAAAAAACATTTACATAAATGAACCAAAAACAAAATCTTTGAAAACAAAATAATATTCAAAAAAATATTCAGAGGAAAAAAACAAAAAACAAAAATATAATAAATGAAATTTGAAGTTTACTAATTCTACAATAAAACTAATTTGGAAATTTTTTAAAAATTAATAAAAAAATTGGATCTTCAGAACTTGTCGATATTTGTCTGAAAGAATTCTTGATACCTAAATACACCTTATACATGAATTTAAATGCAATACAATATATATATATATATATATATATATATATATATATATATATATATATATATAATTTAAAGAAATACAGACTACTTTAAGGTTCCATTATAATAATTTATTTCACCAGAGCCCTGCTGGATCATCAGATAACACTTCCAAAAAATGAAACGAAAGGTGAAATGAAAATTCACACTTTTGACGAGTAGTATTAAGTTTATGTAATTTAACAGACAGGGTAGCGAGGAGAAAAGTGAGAGACATGGTTGAATTTAGAGAGGTCTGTTCTTAAAGTCGTCTGTTCTTCTTTAAATTATTAGCTCTGGATTTACATTGAGCTCTCAGGATTTCATCCTCCTTGGGATAACCCATACAGATTACCCAGTTTTTCATAACTTAAAATATATATATATATATATATATATATATATATATATATATATATATATATATAGTATTTCATTTAAATTCAGTCAAATGCTGGTCTTCCCTCAATTTATAAAAAACAAAAAAATAAAAATGAACTTTGGCAAGTTATGACAAGAGTGCAGATACAAAATCTTGAAAACATAGACCATATACATTATCTGTTTGGATTGGTATTGCTTTTATATCCAACGTCTTTTTCATGTTGAATTGTATATGGTCTATGTTAATTATGTTTTATGAATATGTCCTGAAGATGGTCTATTAGACCGAAACATCCGACGTTAACATTAAACATTAAAACAGCATAATCGCATATTAGGATTTTTGTTTGTATTTTCATTATATTTTTCTTCAAATATATATATATATATATATATATATATATATATATATATATATATATATAATATTGCATTTAAATTCATAAAGTCAAATGCTGGTCTTCTTTCAATTTATAAAAACAAAAAATCAAAATGAACTTTGGCAAGTTTATGATGCATTAATAATGCAGACTGTGTCAATGATTTAGCCTTCCATGATTTTATAAAAGACCACATGTTATGAGTGTGTATTGTTTTGGCTTCTGTAAGATGATCAGTTTACAATTAATTTACATAAGAAACTCAACCATCCTATAACTTTTGTAAAATTAAATAATTTAATACAAAAAAAATATTGTTTCTGGTCATAGTACCTATTGTCGAATTCCTCTGGCTTTTTATATTTTTACCACACACAATCAGAAAAACATGTACACAGACAAAAAGAAAATCCCATTTAAAAGGTGAGATTTTGAGGGAGATATGTCATTCGTTAGCCAGTTTTCTTAGTCTGGATCTGTTTGCTATGCTCTTTACAGGTGACAAGAGAAGTGCACGTCTGATGCTTGTTATAAATCCTGAAGTGGTACAGGAGTTCTACCCAGCCAATGGGCAGCCATCATCTGACCAGCATTACTGCATGCAGAATATATTGGAGATGGTCAAGAAGCAGACCAGTCTCTCACTGAAGACTGATTCCTTCGAATTCTTGGACAAGACAACATGCAGAGGAGATCCTGTCAAACTGCGGCATAAGATCTTCAATCTTAGCAAACAGAAGTCATCACCTTCGGCAAAGAAGCAAGAATCAGTGTTGGAACATTTAAGTAATATTAAACTTTCTGAAAAATCAGATGATGACGATGATGAAAATAAAAAATTTGTGAAACCTCTCTTAAAACTTGAAGACAAAAATGCTGGTCTCTTCATGACACCAGAAAGAACACAATCAAAAAAACCTGCCTTGATCCATGAGGTTTCTGATACAAATAATTATCCTGTTGAACCTAGGTAAGTTAAAATTTATACCAATTCCAGCTTACAGATCTTTACATCTCTCGTACACAGAATCACAAAAATATGGTATTTTTTAAATAGCCAGTCAGTTAAGTATCATATCTAATACACGCTTTGGTGATCATATCTCTTTCAATTCCTAACTGACTAGGTAGAAGATATTACTGCAGTAGGTTAATATTTCTTTCTGTGGTAAACAGGTTGCTTATAGTACTCAGTCTGTTTGGTTTGGTTTGGTTTGTTTTGTTTTACAGCATATCAACCTCAATGGGTCATTTAATGCTGACAACTTTTTTTTTGCCTGGTAATATTTTTGTTTTGTCAAAAATCTATTTCTGGTAATATTTTTTTTTCCTCAAAAATGTATAGCTGGTAATATTTTTTCAAAAACGTACTATCAGAGGCCTTGTTGTTGGATGTAGTTTATCATCTTACCCAGGATGCAGATGTAGTTTATCGTCATACCCAGGATGCAGATGTAGTCTGGGTGTTAACCACCTGCCCACAGCTGGGACCCCAACAGGTGCCACCATCCCGGGCCAGGGCAGATCTGGGAACACCAGCAATAAAGAGGTGGTTCCACGCTCCCTAAAACCCCCGGCCAGAGGCCCCACCACCGGACGTAGCTTATCATCTTACCCAGGATGCGAATGTAGTTTATCATCATACCCAGTATGTCTCAGTCTGTCCTGCTATCAATCAGTTTATGTATATCAGTTAGTTAATTGTGATATGGGATACATGCTAGGGTAAGTATGTCTCTTTCGATTCATGACTGACTAGGCAGAATATTTTCTCACAGTAGGTTGATATTTTTTTCAACCAAGGCTATATTACTCAGTCTGGCCTACTAATCAATCCTTTTATCTAGATCTGTCAGTTAATTGCCATATGTGATACACGCTTGGGTGAGTATATCTATTTCAATTCATGACTGACTAGGCAGATTTTCCCGCAATAAGTTGATATTTCTTTCTGTGGTAGACTGGCTGCCAAACAAGGCTATAGAACTCAGTCTGTTCTGTTATTCAATCCTTTTATCTAAATCGGTCAGTTAATTGCCATATGCAATGCACTCTTGCGTGAGTATGTCTCTTTCAATTCATGACAGACTAGACAGAAGATTTTCTTGCAGTAGGTTGATATTTCTTTCTATGGTAAACTAGTTGCTAGCCGAGGTTGTCCTGCTTTTCAATGCTTTTATCTAGATCAGTCAGTTAATTGCTATGCTCGATAGACTTTTGTGTGATTATGTTTCTTTTGATTCATGACTGACTAGACCGAAGATTTTCCCTCAGTAGGTTAACATTTCTTTTTGTGGTAAACTGGTTGCCAACCAAGGCAATAGGACTCAGTCAGCCCTGCTATTCCATCCTTTTCTAGGTACCTCCAAATGAATATTTAAAAATGGAAAATCATTCTTGAATCTAGTTTAATTTCTCGAAATTTCATGAAATTAAATGTGGTGGGGGTGGAGTTAACATATGTAAAAAAAAAATTTTTACCAAGATTTTTCTAAAAACAAATTTCCAAAATAATTTCATTCATTTGTGAATTAGTCCTGAAAATTTCACTAAAATCTGACAATTATTTGATTTTTGCAAGAATTGTCAAATTAACGTTTTTCACTAAAATCTGACAATTATTTGATTTTTGCAAGAATTGTGAATAAAAAATTAACGTTTTACACCTAATCTGCAGATGAAAAAAAATTGTTTTTATTAAGTCTGAGGCCTTTTTTCAACAATGAGAGTGAGAGAGTAGAAAATCTTTTCCACTAGAAAAAAACATGTAGCTGATTTTGTCTTTTCCATGACTGACTTATTATCTCTAGTATTTGTCTATATTTCTGAGATGAGATATTATGTACACTATTTACATTGTTCAGACTATCGTCTTCATCTTTGATGCCATATTTATCATAACGTTTCATTGAACGTGCCGGCCTTCTTCACGTGGTTGGAATGTCAAACATTGTTGAACCCATTTTTTATTTAACGTTTCATTGAACGCTGCCTTCTTCAATGGATGTAAACTGTTTAGTTCCACTAGTTATGTCTAATGGATGTCAGTTATCAGTTATTTCCTATTAATTCACCTCCCCAAGTTCTCTAGTGCCTTAACCTGGTACTGAATTCACAACACTTTGGGTCCTGTCACTGGATCTAACCAACACCTTTATCCACTGCGCCATGTGTCCTTAAGGACAACAAAGATGAGGACAATAGTCCGAATAATGTAATTACTGTTATTATCTCCACTTTTGTCCAGATATTGTTCTACATCCTACGAATACATGTATATTTATATTTGTATATATGCAAGTCCTGCAGACTCCCCCATGAAACATGGGTCCACAACCTCACCACGGTAGCTGTTACTGCTGTCGTTTCCATAGCAAGTAGATTCTTACAGCATGGGATTGCAAGCCTAATGCCAGTTTTGAATTCAAAGTTGTCCTTCTCCTAGACTAGTTGCCAACCAAGGCTAGAAAGCTCAGTCTCTCCTATTAATCCCTAACTGCGAGGAGAAGGGATGTATTCATACTTTTCCAAGGGTATTTCTGTCAAATGGATAAAACAGCCTTGACTGGGATTTGAACTTGGCATGCCAGTTCCATTTGTTCTGCAGTTCACAGTAGTCAAAATATTTAAGACGTTATTAGATTTAAGTTTTTAGAGAACAGAAGTTCAGTTTGTAAAGAAGATAAACTGCACTTTTGTTGCAATTGTGTGGGAGGGTGTGCAGGTGGTGTAATGGATAGCAACTCGGAATGAGAAATTGGAGAGCTGAGTTCAAATCCCACTCAGGTTTGTTACATTAATTGAAAATATCCTTGAGAAAGGGATGAATCCATCTCCTTCCCCAGCTATAGGTCAAATAGTAGGACTTGTATCTGGAAAATTTATTTTTGTCTCGGATAAAAAAATTGTTGATTCAATATTCACTAACAAAAAAAAAATATTTCTTACAGTCCAAAATATGTTTTGGCTTTAAATAACCCACAAAAGCATCTGTCTATATTTCTGAGATTGTATTGTAACTATTTACACTATTTACAATGTTCAGGCTGTAGTCCTCATCTTTACTGTCATATTCACAATGTTTCAGCCACTGTACGCTCCGACCTTCTTCAGGTGATATACGTTGAAATTTCAAACCAAACCCTTTATTTCATCTACTGGGGTAAATTGATCTAGTTCCAGGTGCCATGCCTTTTCTAGATATCTCAGTTTCAGTTATTTCCCTTTAGTAACTCAATTCTTCAAGTTTTTGTTCATCTCTGCTGTAGCCAGGTATTGAACTCAAAATTCTTTGGGTTAAGTCACTGGATTTCTTCAACCAACATTTTTATCCACTGGACCAACTGAAGTAGGCCAGAATGTCCAATGGCCAAAATGTTGTGAATCTGACAATAAAGATGAGGACAACATTCTGAACAAATTAAATAGTGTAAATAACCTATTTATCTATGGTTGATAAACCATAAAAAAAAAAACAAATCAGTCAGTCTATCATAGCAATTATGCAGACTGGCAAGATTCTACAAAATAATGAATTTTCACACACTGACAAATATTGGTCATATACCAATGTCTTGCCTTGTACATGCACACATCAGCAAGACATTTACTGTTCAGGTCTTATAGTCATTGTATGTATCAAATGCATTTATATTAAAGAGCACAACCACTGTTATTCAAATGCAACCACAGTGCCACATGTGTAAATCAGTCCTAGTTTCTCTCAAACAATGAATTCCTCAAGAGGACACAATCTATCTAGTTGTAAGCACCACTCATGTTCAGGGGAGCAAACTAGTAAGAAAAGCAATTCATTCCCACTCTACCAGACACAGCCTTCTCTAAAGTTGCTTAATTTGTTTGCTTGTTTATCTTCTATATGTTGTTTCCAGCAATGATTCTGAATGTTTGCTCCTAGGCCCATAATTGCTGACTTTCTAAGCATAGCTTAGACATGGCACAAGGCTGCAAGTGTGGAGCACACAGTGAGGATCAAACTCACTACTCTGTCATAACTGATCTAGCTAAAACTTGCTAACCATTGCAGCAAGTTGAAGTTCTCCTCTTAGGCCCACGAGTGAGTGTGATAATTTAAAAAAAAAATGGGCCGTGAGTTGACCCAACAAAAATAGATGGTCTTTGAAATTCTGTTTTTTTTCTACTGGCATAAAATTATGAGAACACAAACTGTTTTACTTTATTTTTAAAGGCAAATAATTCAAAAATTATTTAAATAAAATTTTCAATGTTTCCTTCAAATAATCTTATATATAAAGTACAGTGTATATGTGTGTGTTTGTGCATGTGTGTGTTCAAGCTACTCCTCCACTCTCACTGGTCCAGTTTTGGTGATTCATAGCTCATTCAGCAGCCCTAAAAAAGTTAGGAGCATGGAACAATTTTGATTCAGCTCAGATGCAGGGTTGCCAGATTATGCAAGGTTAAAAATATATATTAATACATTATACTAGCCATTTTCCTTTTGTATCCAAAATTGCAGTGCATGTTTTATTATAAACTAGCTTAAAAGCCACACTATTGGCTGACATTTAAGCTAGCTCCTGTGGAGGATTCTTAGTTTGACCATCATCACAAGAGCTAGGGAGTAGTAGATGCAATAGGCATCAATAAACTACAGAAGAACTCAAAATTGATCGCTGCATTTAAGCATTGAATTAATGTTTAATCTTATCTTTTAAAAGTTCAATGATAATTCTTCTGCTGTCAATTAATTTAAAGATGATTTGATGTACATAGATCCCTATTTTCCATACAAAGAATTACTTCTATTTCAGAACAGGGGACAATTTATAAGATAAAATTAATATTGTGTAGAGATGGGAAAATAGAAATTAGAATTAGTTATACATTCAACATTTGAAGAGTTAGAGAAACATAATAGCTAAATAAGTAAAACCAATATTATGGAATCTATATGAATAAATGCGAAATTGGAGCACAATTCTCCTATCAATTCTGAGATGAAAAAGCCCCATCTCTACTTTATAATAACTTGGTATTTACTTGACCCTCCCCTCATGAAGTTGTGTTGTGACACAAGGTTGGATTAATGTGGGCAGTTCGAACACATACACCTGGGCTAGGAACAAAAATTATGAGCTCTCTCAACTGTCAGTTGCACTGGCCTCAATGTGAGCACTCATCCCTCTATCTAGTGTAATGAGAGGTTGCATCCTCAGGCAGCTTTTCCTCAGGGCTGGCCACCTCTCAGTATAATTTTCCTCAGTTGTGACTCTGGCCCTCAATGGAGCCACCTCTGAGCTCACTCTGCCTAAAGACACAACTGAGAGATGATAAATAAATGTGTTACAAACTACTTAATAGTAATTTGGTATTTACTTGAATGCCCACCTCCTTGCCACCACCACCACATAGTCATATTGTGACTAGGTTGGTTTAATGTGGGGAGCCTGAGCACATACACCTGGGCTAGGAACAAAAATTCCCTGAACCCCAGCAACTGTCTTGTTTCCAATTTGCATTTTACTTGACCTTCAACAAGTTTGCATCTATTTGTAAAACTTTCTTTAACTATAACTGGTCAATTTATGAATGAAATTTTAATTTAAAATTTTTGTTTTAAGGTTTTCAAGAAGTGAATATATTTTAATTTGTGAAGCAATAGCTAGCGGGTGAAACCTGCTAGTTTCAAATAATGGTGAATATATAATTGAATAAAATCTAAGGACACTTTTAGAAAAATTAAAGCTGCTAGATAAAAGTGGAAATTATTTATGACTCAACCTAATATTTAATATAGTCAACATTTCTAACTTCTATTTATACTTTGTTTACTTCATTTTACTTCCAAACTGTGATCAAAATGCTGAATTTGTCACCACTTTCATTGTAAAAAATAGCTTTTGCTGAATAAATAAGTAAATTTAATTATAAAGGCCATCAGAAAATACAAATTAATTATCATTAAATAAGGGTGATTATATTTGGCAAGAGCCATGCTTGTAATTAAAATAACTAAATCCAGATTCATTTATCTCAGTTTCAGGTTATATTTTCACATTCAGACAAACAATCAATTTTATATATATTTAATTTTCAAGTTAATGAAAGGGCATACACACAAATCTTTAGCTTTCTATTCTACTGACATACGAAAACTCATAGGAAAGCCATATCCAATGTCATAGAAAGGCTGAGATTTCTATCACTTATGCTCTGATATCTGGTGAATCAGTGTGAACACTGGTAATGTTAATTATCAAATTATCAGAGTTTGAATGGAGCATGACAGTGGGTTCTAGCTGAATGGGTCATTCTGTTAGTTCCAGTTGCAGAAAATGACTTCTAAAAGTCTTCCTCACAATATTATACTTCTTCCCACACAGTAAAATACAAACTGCTTTACTTTATTTTTAAAGGCAAATAATTAAAAAAATTATTTAAATAAAATTTTTAATGTTTCCTTCGCATAATGAATTTATATTTTCAAATTGATTTGAAACATTTTTTATGTTTGTTTTATTGTATGCTCTTAGAAAAAAGTGTTCATTTATTTTTCATTTATTTGAGACCAACATTTGGGATGCTTTTAATGTGAGTTATTGATTTACAATATGACAGAATTAATTAACAAAAAAATGTTATTCTAGTTTTTTGAATACATTACTTTACCTGTATTATTTCAGCACCATTAATCCACAGTGTAGTCATTCGGTCAGAATGTATATTTTTTCTACTACCTTTTGCTTTTGGAAATAAAATGTATGTCCTGTTACATGAAATTTCTATTTACACTTATGGGGGGGCCTGAAATTTCTTTGATGCCAAACATGGATGTTAAGTAAAAAAAAGATGTTGAGTAACCATAAAAATGTCATCCATTTCAGACAGCAAATGAATTCCCAAAATCGGACAGGAAATTACAACTATCTCTTTTAGTGCCATTGATTCAGGTTATGAAATGGTAAAAGTGAATATGGAGAAGTGGATGCAGATGTTTCTTTTTGTAGAATTTGTAGTGTTTATGAAGAGAAACTTTCAAAATCTGTATAAATTAAGATTTGCTAAAATGAACAAATTAATGAAATGAAAATTATTGCGGACACATTACTAGAACATTTTCTATTAATTAATCTGTTTCAGACAAAATAAAAACGTCTTTTTATTGAAAATTATTAATAAAATTTCTGCTAAGAAACTTTGTTCACTGTGTCATGTGAGACAGTCTTTCTCTCCAGAATCTATTTTACATATCTATAAGCCTATCATTCATTCATGTATAAGGATACTCTACTGCCACATATGATCTGGATCCCCTATTATTTACATTGAACTCCTTGATAAGATCCAAAGAAGAATCAGCAATATTATTAGTCCTGATCTGGTGACTCAGCTTCAGTCACTTTTCCACCAATATAAGCTTGCCTCTCTGTGCCTTTCCTATCAATATATTTTAGGATAATTGTTCAGATGAGCTCATCACTATGGTACCTAGATTTTTTGAATTTAAGCATAGTACTAGACTGGCATTGAGGTCTCATCATTTTATAGCTGAGCTGGCTAGATGTAGCCATAAATTCTAATGTAACAGTTTCTTTTCTCGCACTTCTTGCTTGTGGGACTCCTTTCCAGCTTTATGCATTCCAGTCAATTTTAATTTGCAAAAATTTAAATCCAATGTCAATTGCTATCTATTGTCCCCCTGAATACTCTTTTCTCTTTTCACTCATTAATAATGTTTTTGTTCCTAATTCTAACACACCCTGTAACCTCTTGTCTTAGTGGCTTTATTGCCTTGCATGGGGTTATGGTGATGAAAAAAAATTCCTACTGAGTGGATATCAACTTAAAATAAAATTTACTTAATTTATAATTTATGGAGAAAGATTAAACTTAGTATTTAAAATATTTATCAAATTATATTAGTACCTTGAATAAGTTCTCACTGATTTTTCATGAAAAATAATGTTTTATTTCCAAAAATAATAAGAAACATGTCACTGAAAGTATTGTTCATCACTGGACCCTACTTTTTCCCATCTGTCAGGTAGCATCTGAATTCGACATCGGAAAAACATGTCTTTTGAGGCTAACTACAAGTCATCCTATTTTTAGACATCTTCATAAGAATGAAAGTGCTACTCAGCCAAGCCATGTGCCATCGATTGGAACTAGTGATAATCAGATGGGTCAATGTCTGGTGAGAATGACGGATGAAGTAGGGCTTCCCATTTAAGCATGTTCTTTCTGACAGAGCATGGTCACTGTAAGTCTCAACAAGAATTCTGTGTGCTTCAGCTTCAGATTTCTTTTGAATAAAGTAGTGCAGTAAAATTCCCTGCAAAAACACTTTCTTTGGCATGAAATCCAGCATATTTAATGCTATGAAAAATAATTGTTTACACTTTGGCAAAATGACATACACTGAATTTCAAGCTTGCTTGTATTACTTCCTAATAGATGCGTTACTATCTGGAACTATATGCACACAGTTCTGGGAATGCCATCTGTTGGAAAATAGCAAGAACTTATTCAAGGTCCTAATAAATATGCAATGTTTGAACTTTTAAGCTTGTATAGTTATTAAGTTATTAGAAACTTTATACATTTCAAGTAACATACGCAGTCTGATCAAAAGGTATTGAGATTGCTGCTATAAAAAGAAACCTACAACACATATCAATTTAGCACTTAATCACCTTCAAAATGCTCCCCTTTCTGAAACCACACACTTTATCCAGCATCGTTTCCATTGATGGAAGCATTCCTGGAACTCCTGTTGTAGAATAGCATATGCAGCTGTCTCATTGCATTCTCTATGAAAATCTTGTTCCTTTTAAAAAGGATTTGATTTTTGAAGAGAAAAATGCTGCAAGAGTTAAGATTTGGGAAATATTGTGGTTGTCCACCCTGGGGAATGTTGTCCTTAGCCAAAAACTGCTGCACAAGCCATGGTAAGTGATGGAACCTCTGTGTTGTGATGAGATGACCTCAGTCTACTCACTTTCCTTCTAAGCACTGCTATAAACAACAGAAGTGAGTGAGAACATTATAACTTAGTGTGTATTCTCAACAGAGTTTAAGGTCAGTCTATCTCAAGCAGCTTCACTCTGAATACTTTAGCTCTGTTACTAAAGTAACAGTCATGATACTTTTTGACCCAACCTCATGCATTACAATTGAGCTGATCATTTTTATGTTAAATATTTGTAGGTCTTCTTGTGTTTAATTCCACATCCTCACTCCATGTATAAATAAAAGACAATGTAGTAGTCTGAGTAAAAGTCTGAGTTGAAGTTGTAAGTGGAATCATTAATAAGTTTTCTTGTGTCTCATCTGATGTGAATTCTCTTCATAAGAAGTCACTAATTGAATAAAAAAAAGAAACAGTTTTTGTTAAGAACCCTTCAACTGCTTCTTGTTTATAAAAATTTGGTATTTTCACTTGATTTTTCTTTTTGTTTTGTTTCCTTTTTCTTTATGGACAAGTTGAATATTTTTACAAGGTTAAATTTTCACCCACACAATTTTCAAAAATTGTATGTTTATGATTATGCATGTGCTTTTTATAAATACTTCCTAAGTTTTTTTAACCAAAATGTGAAAACAGTTTTTGTTCATTTTATTTGCAGCTATGAAATCAACACAAGCGAAGAAAATTGTATTATTGTTTATGTGCAACTACCTGGCGTAAAATCTGGTGCTGAGTGCGAAGTCGACTTAATTGAGGTAATAACAAACTCTTAATTCTTCTTCTGTGTCATGTCTTTCAGCACATGGGAGATCATGGCTCTCCAGAACTTCCTACCCTTTGTACCTTTTCATAAATGCGCCCTGGGTAAGATGATAAACTGCATCCGCGTCCTAGGTAAGGCGATAAACTACGTCCAGCAGCAAGGCCTCTGATTGGGAGGTTTTGAGGAGCTTGGAAGCACCTCTTAATTGCTGGTGGTCCTGGGGTAGTAACACCTGTTAGGGTCCCAGCTATGGGCAAATAGTTGACTCCACAACCTGACTATAAAAGTGTAAAAATAGATTTTAATACCAGAAATACTTTGTAAAAAAAAATTAGTATCAGCAATAAATTTTTGAAAAAAGATCTTACCAGCAATAAAAATCATGCCATCATTAAATAACCCATTGAGGTTAATATGCCACAAAACTAAACAAACCAAACTATACATTTTTTTAAAAAGAAATATTACCAGCTAGACATTTCTGATAAAATTACCAGCTATACATTTTTGAAAAAAAAAGGAAATTTTGTCAGCATTAAATAACCCACTGAAGCTGATATGCTGTAAAACAAAACAAACCAAACCAAACCAAACTGATTTCTTACAAAGAATACATATTCTATTCATACGAACATATCCTAAAAATCTTGTCAGCATTAAATAACCCATTGAGATTGATATGCCATAAAACAAAACAGACCAAACCAAACTGAACTCTTAGAAATAATACATATTCTATTCATACGAAACTATCCTAAAAATCTTGTCAACATTAAATAGTCCATTGAAGTTGATATGCCGTAAGACAAAACAACCCAAAGCAAATTCATTTCTTACAAAGAATACATATTCTATTAATATGAAACTATCCTTAAAAATTTTGTCAGCATTAAATAATCTATTCAGGTTGATATGCTTTAAAACAAAACAAACCAAACCAAACTAATTTCTTACAAAGAATAAATATTCTATTCATACGAACATATCCTAAAATCTAAAAATCTGCATTAAATAACCCATTGAGATGTTGATATGCCATAAAACTAAATAAACCAAACCTTTTCATAAGTTTTGTCTTTTCACTATCCTTTTCAGTCACTCTTCTGACATCCATTTATACAAACTCGTTACATTATTTGTCGTTTTCCACTGTCCATTTTACATTTAGCATGTCCTCTGAATGTCACATTCCATAAGTGTTCTTTCTTCATTATACCTCCTAGAAATTCTGTCTCTCTTTACGATTCTAAGTAGAAGTGGTTTTTTTTTTTTGTTTCAGTGTTTCTTAAAACCTTCTACATTACTCACATGTTTAGTTCATGGTATTTTCAATGTCCTTCTGTAGAACTGCATTTCTCTTGCATGAAGATTTTTCTTCATCTATCTGGAGATTGTTCAGCATACGCTGCCAAAGAGGAGAATTTATAATACATAACAATTCAGTATTTTTTCTTTGTTTCTCACAATTTTTTTTCTTGTTTCTTAATAATTTGCTTAGCTTTTAAAGAGCATCTTTTTTCTACCCCTATCCAGCTTCACATTTTGGTGTTGCATTTTCATCCTCTGTTAAAACACTTCCCAGTTATATAAATCTTCAGACTTGATTTTGGCACCTTCAATTCATAATTCACATCTTGGACACTTCTTCTCACTAACAACCATACATTCTGTTTTCTTACAATTGAGGTTTAGTCCTTTCTTCTACCTTTCCTTTAATATCAGTATAAATTCTAGATTATTCAATATCTTTCCCAGAAGTTGAAACAGTTTTTTGTGTTGTACCTTATCAAATGCATTTTCATAATCTATAAAACATGTGTCATACCATTGGAATGGTAATGAGGAATGAAGTTTGAGATAGGAGTGGAAGAGGAGGAGGAAGGAAGTGGAGATTATGAGAATGAGGATAGATAACACAAAATTGTCTTAAAATTCAAAAAGAAACTGAAGGTCAGAGAGTACACTGTGTTGAATGTTGTGGCAAAAACAATAAATAGAGATGCTCATCTAAATATCTCTTTGAACAGTAATATTATTTTCTCAGGTATTTAAACAGAAATTAATTAATTTTTTTTTCTTTTAAGTGAGCATTTCTCATAAAGAATCAATTTTATTTTTATATTAACTGTTCAAACATTTATCAATCAATAAAAACAATTTTTTTAATCATTTCCCCTCCAAGCAAGGCAATAAAGCCACTAAGATGCAAAGAGTTACTAAGTGTTAGAGAATATGAGAAAAATCTACTATTAAGGAGAGGGAACAATAAAAGAACAACAAATAAAAAGACAGTAGATAACGATTGACATTTGTATAAAATTATTACTATATTATAGGCATGTGGCCAAGTGGTTAGAATGTTTGCATTCTAACCATGAGACCCAGGTTCAATTTTCACAATTTCCTCATGTTATCGAACTGGTGGGGTTGATCCCAGCATTTGGAAAGTGCCTGAAAACCATACCATGGTATGACCCAAGACTTGTGAATGAAATTGGGTAAATGGAACCCTTGGGGGTCATCAATAGCTGTGGTTGCATAAAGTCACAAGTCATTGTGCCCGAGAGCTTGAGGGTGCTCACCTTGTTCAAATTGTTGATCACGCAAGATAACATACTCTTTCCTAGAAACTGTAACTAAGGTCTGCTCAGCATAGTTGCAATATAAAACACAGGTGGGCTTTGTGGGTGTTGAATAAATACAAAAACACCTGAGCAAGCATCTGCAATAGGGATTGTCTAGCTGCCCTAGTAGACGGGTATCCTTGAATATGAGTGGCAAGCTATACATACATTACTATCTGAATATCATAGATAAGATTTTTAATCTTATTAAAAGATTTTTCAAACTAATTTCCACATTCTTTTTTTTTTTCACCTACAAAATTTTGGTGCGTATAACTTAGCTAGAGGTGTCATTATTAATTGCTGATTAATACATTTTTAATATTCTAACCATAGTTGCATTTCATCAATAGTCCACAAACCAGCATTTAACATTCATTAGTCAGTAAACTGTACATAGAAAATAAGGGGGAAAAATAAAGGATAAGAGAAATTGACAATACAGAAATTTGCCTCTTTTCAACTTGAGAAAGATAATAAACCTTCAGCCCAGATTATACCAGCTGATTTGATTTGGTTTGGTTTGTTTTACAGCATATCAACCTCAATGGGTTATTTAATGCTGACAAGAATTTTATTGCTTGTAATATTTTTTCAAAAATGTATTGCAGCTAATATTTTTTTTTCCAGAAATGTATTGCTGGTAATATTTTTTTTCTTCAAAAATGTATTGCTGGTAATATATTTCCAGAAATGTATTGCTTGTAATTTTTTTTTTCAAAAAGGTATTGCTGCTAATATTTTTTTTTTCAAAAATGTATTTTTTTTATTCAGAAATTCATTACTGGTAATATTTTTACAAAAATGTATTGCTAGTATTAAAACCTATTTTCACACTTTCATGGTGCTTTGACCACAGTTTGGGGCATTAACTATTTGCCCATAGTTGGGACCCTGACAGGTGCTACCACCCTGGGTCAGGGTAGACCTGGGAACACCAGCAATTAAGAGGTGATTCCATGCTCTTCAAAACTTCTTGACCAGAAGCCTTTCTGTTGGATATAGTTTATTGTCTTACCCATGACACATATGTAGTTTATCGTCGTACCTAGGACACCTCAATTAGGGGGGGTATCTTACCCCTTTGCAGAGGTGCAGTAAGCATATTTTGAAGCCCCAACAGGACAGATACCAATTGAATTACAAGAGATCATATCTAACCACACAAATACTATATTTCATTTTTTCATGACGTCTTAGAGCCATATTTCCTATTTCTTACCTATATTGGTTTTATTAGTAATAATATCTTTGAGAAATTATATTAGATGAAGTTTTCAAAAATCATCCATTTATTAATAATATATTTTTTCTCTTAATTTCAGTTGCTGTATCTTTTTTTAATCATTTCACCCAGGTAAGGTAATAAAGCCACTAAGACGCAACTCAGCTACTAAGTATGAAAGAATATAAGAAAATGTACTATTATAGAGAGAGAACAACAAAAGAACAGGAATTAAGATGACAGCAGATAACGACTGACATGGGAAGTGAGAAGCCAGAAGAGAGCTCCACAAGCGAGAAGTGCAATAGAAGAAAATGCCAGCACAGAACACATGACTACATCTATGAGACCAAACAGCCAATCAAGCACTGTACTGAAATTCATAAAGTCCTAATTTCTGTTCTTTTCTCTCTCCTTGTTAATGTTTTCTTTTTCTCATATTCTTTCACACTCAGTAACTCCTTGCATCTTAGTGACTTTATTTTCTTGAATATAGTGAAATGATTGCTATATTGTCATATAGGACATAAATGAATGGAATCATCCATTTATGTAAATAAGCAGAGTTAAGCAGAGTTGAGAAGAGTTAGCATTGGTTCAAAAAGTGTACAAAAGTATCTTTGTGTAGGAAACCTTTTATTTCATTACTTACATACAAGTTTCTCTTCCTTATTTATTTCCCTCTGTTGTCTCAAAAAAAAAAAACATACAATATATATATATATATATATATATATATATATATATATATATATATATATATACCAGGTGTAGCAACAAATTTGTTCAAATCATGTAGAAGAAAAATTGTCCAATTGTTGGTTTAAGTTTTGAACTGTCCTACCTTAGAAATGATTAAAGATATCTTACTGGAATTCTCTAAGGTTTTTAGTCTCCACTTTGAAAAATAAGAATGTATAATTGCTCTCCAAGCTTAATAGACGAATCATGATGAAATCAATCATGAACACAAATGACAGAAGCTCATGAAGGATTGATATAAAGTTCAAATATATATATATATATATATATATTATTCAAGGATCATTTTCCAACTTATTCAAAATGATCTTCACCCTCTCTAACCTTCTAACCTTCTGTCCTGGAGTAACAAGTTACCTCACACATTTCACATATGATTACATTTTCAAGTTTTTTTTTCACTGCTTTTTGGAATGTCATAGCTGAAACTTTGTTTAGTGTTTTTTTTTTAGATATTAAACATTTTATGGAATGGACAATTATGCTGTAACATGATTTGGACAATTTTGCTGTTCCATCCTTTCGGTTTGTCTCAAGGTCCTTGATAAAATCCATAGACAGATATGCAATGTAATTAGCCCTGATCTGGCATCTCGTCTGCAGTTGCTCACTCACAGACTTGCCGTTGCCTCCTTTTGTCTTTTTTTACAAATACTTTCATGGTAACTGCTCCAATGAGCTGCTTTCACTAATTCTCAGACTTCATGAATTTAAGCGTTCAACTAGGCTGGCATCTTGCTCACACCCTTTCACTATTGAAACTGTTAAATGTAGACATCTCTTCTACTCCAAAAGCTTCATGTCTCGCACTTCTCGCTTGTGGAACTCCCTGCCCATTTCTTGTTTCCCTGATAGCTATAATCTCCAACTATTCAAATGTAATGTCAATTAACATCTCCCGATACCTTGATCTATCCCCTATCCTTCTCTTCATCCTTTTCTCTATCACTCCTCTTTGCTCTCACTCCAACTCTCTGTAACCCATTGCGTGCTAGTGGATTCCCACCCTGCTTGGGGTGAAATGCTTAAAAAGAAAAAATATATGAATATGGTCAGCTTCACACTGACACTTAAATCAATAAATAAATCAATTATAATGTGTCTGATATGATCAGTGATGTCGTAGAAAAGAAAGATCCTTTTCTGCCTTCCATCATATGGCTGATGCTAACCTCCATGAGAGGGACTCATTGCACCTACTCAATCTAAAATTCTCAGCTGAAATGAAGTCTAACAACTATATTGAATCCATTACTATGTCTACTGCTAAGAAAGTCAGGTCATTCTGTCATGCTAGAGAAGTTTTTAGACCAGAATCTATCTTTCTATATTTCTGAGATGAGGTATTATGTACACTATTTATATTATTCAGACTATTGTCCTCATCTTTGTTGCTATATTTATCACAACATTTCAGCTGTTGTACACTCTGGCCTTCTCTATGTGGTTGGAATGTCAAACTGAACCCTGGTTAAGGCAGTGGAGAACTTGGAGGGGGGAATTAACAGGAGATAACTGATAACTGACATCCATTAGACATGGCACATGGAACTAGAACAGTCTACCCCAGTGAGTGAAATAAAGGGTTCAATTTGATATTCGAAGCACCTGAAGAAGGCCAGAGCATACAACGGCCAAAACATTGTGATAAATATGGCAACAAAGATGAGGACAATAATCCAAATAATGTAAATAGTGTACAGAATCTATCTTGCATATTTATAAATCTACTATTCATCCATGCTTTTGAATATTGCTGCCACATCTGGTCCAGTGTTCCTGCTGTATATTTAGAGATTCTTGATAAAATCCAAAACAGGATCAGTATTATTATTGGTCCTGACCTGGCATCTCAGCTTCAGTCACTTTCCCACCACTGTAATGCTGCTTCTCTGTACCTTTTCTATAAATGTTTTATAGTAATTATTTGGATGAGCTCTTTTCTATGGTACCTATTCTTTATGAATTTAAGCACAGTGCTAGATTAGTCACAAAATCTCATCAATTCACAGTTGAATCCGTTAGATGTAACCATAAATTCTATGCTAATAGTTTCCTTTCTTGCACTTTTTGTTTTTTGTAACTGTCTTCTGGCTTCTTGCTTTCCAGCCAAATTTGATCTTCAAATATTTAAATGCCATGTCAATCACTATCTACTTTCTTGATTAGTCTTCTATTCTTCTTGCTCCCTAATGTTTGTTTTTTTGGGTTTTTTGGGGTTTTTTTTTGTTTTGTTTCCCACACTCATTAACACCTTGTGTCTTAGTGGCTTCACTGCCTTGCATTTGGGGGATGTGATTAAAAAAATTAGACAGAAAGTGCTGAACAATTTTGACATATTATATTCGTACTTGTGTTGCCCACTCATATGATGTTTCATTGTTGTGAATATACTTTTGCTCAAGTTTTAATATTATATTTTACATTTTTGTTCATCCATACTTAAACTCTTATATCAAAATCTAGTAGTTTTAAATGCCAACAAGAATGCTGAAAGTGTGAGTTGAAATACATTTTTAAAAATAAATTCATGCATTCTCGGTATCTATTCATTCTTAGATTCCATGTGATTGTGTTTGGCTGTTGGAATGCATGCAGTTGCAGCACATGCAGTTGCAGTGCATGCAATTCTGGTCATTTTTGGTGATGCCTGTTTTTTTTTTGTTTGTTTGTTTTTTTTTGTAGAATGAAGAAAGATGCCTGAAACCAAAATGATGCAAAGAATTTAGCTGAAGATAAACGACCAGTATTTCCAGTTGTTTATCCCTGGCATCGAATATTTATTGATGCAGATGTCATAGTTGACAACCTGGAAAAAAAATAATACCTTTCCTTTGGCTCCAGAATCAGGGGGAGTGTAAAAAATTAGTTTTTTTGAAATATTATTCTTGGTATTTCTGTTTCTGGGAGTCAATCAGTGATTCTATAGAAAAACATGCACACACTGAATCTCAATTAAGAAACATTACAGACACATGCACAAAATCTCAATTGAAAAAAATCACGTACACATGATTTCAGTTGAGAAACATCACATGCACACACACGCGCACACACACACACACACACACACACAGAACCTAAATTGAGAAACATCACCTGCACACACGCACACACACACGAACACACACACACAGAATCACTATTGAAAAACATCCCACACACAAACATATACACATGTAAACACACGCACACACAGAGAATCTCAATAATGAAACATCAAGCACAAACATATATAGAAACAGAATTGCAGTTGAAAAATTCACATACATACAGAAGAATCTCAGTTGAGAAGCATCACGCACATGCATACACATACAAACAGTCTCAATTAAGAAAAACATCCCCACATGCATAAACACAGAGAATCCCAATAGAGAAACATCCCACACACAAACACAAAGAATTTCAATTCAGAAACATCACACACAACCACACACACATACAAACATACACACAGAGAATCTTACATTGAGAAACATGGCACACACAAAAACCTCTCATACGCACACACCTAGAGAATCTCTCAACTGAGAAGCATGTGTTTTATGTTTGTGCATTATCTCTGTTTGCTCACTCAGAAGATTAATAAGCAAATTTTTTTTTTAAGTTCCTTTCTTTTGTTTTTCCAGGATGTCCTCACCATAGAAGTTGATAACAGATACAGTCTTTTACTGCCACTAGATGCTAAAATTGATGAAGCGAAGACTAGCGCTGAATTCAGCGCCAGATCAGCCCTCCTTACTGTCAAAATTCCTTTATTGACGCAGCACTAGCAAAGCTTCTTGTCTGTTATTTCTTTTCGAAAAGAAATTTTCATTCTTGTTCAGACTAAATTCCTTTGTTTTCTATCCACACAACATTACAACCAATGACCTTCCTTGGGTTGTCTGTTGAACATATTCAAAATATTATGATAAAATAAAACAATCAAAAACAAAGAAATTAGTATGGACTAATCTATGTACTAAAATTATCCTTTGGAAACTCTGACAATTTTCAATGTCTTTTCACAGGTTAATATTGTTTTGATCAGTACCTTTACCAACCATCAACTGTTGATGTGTTCATGACTCAATGACCAATTGCAGTGTAAAATAAGTGTCTTGTGATATCTTTTTTACCTTAGTATTCAAATAAATTTTTTATACATTCCGAATTTTCATTTTAATATTCTTATTTTCTTAATTTCATGGGGTAAATTAAAAATAGTTTGCAAAAATACTTGATTATTATATACAATTGACTATGTCTAACTACATCGGTCATGGGTAAACTGTGGCCCGTGGGTCACATGCAACCCATTTGGCTTTCTGAATAACACCTAATTTCATGAAGAAAATAACATTTCTTATAATTTGTTTTGTTTCATTCTCACTTGTTCACTCACACACTCTCTCATACATAACCATATACATAAACAATGAATAAATGTAATGTTTGTTGACTTTGTAAACTTTTATTGTGTGTATGTTTTCATCATTATAAATGATATTCACTGAGGATAATCTGACATGTAAATATCTTTTTGCTTTAGAAACAGGAAATGTTAATAATAATTTTTTTATCTGAAGAAAAAATATATTTTTTTTTATTTAAAAGGTTTTTTTGTATTTTCAAGTGAATAAATTAAAAATTCATCACACAAAGTGTTGTGTTCTAATCACACCGTTAGATGCTCACACATACGTTCATCTTTAATGAAAATGACTGAGTCACAAAACATTACCTTTAATCTTTTTAGTAGTGTGGTCCACCTTAATATATATATATATATATATACAGATAAATATACTTAATATATATATATATATACATATACATATATATATGAAGAAATATAGTTTTATAGTGTGCTATATTTATGGGATAAAATGCTCAATATCAGAGATAGAGTGTGTAAATATAAAAGTGAACACTGAAATCAACACTCAGAGGCAACAGGCTGTTTCATGTTAGACGCAATTGTCAAGCCACCTGACAATTGTGTCTAGCATGAAACAGTCTGTTGCCTCTGAGTGCTGACTTCAATGTTCACTTTATATATATATATATATATTGTGATTCTGATTCCGATGTAATAAATTATAACCATGGAATATTAGTATTTGAGCCTTTTATATCGCAATCCAATTCATCCGACCTACTTGTATATATATATATATATATATATATATATATATATATATATATATATTGACCACCAATATTATCAATATATATATGCATATCTGATAAATTTGATTGCAATATAAAAGGCTCAAACACTAATATTCCATGGTTATAATTTATTACATTGGAATTGTAATCACGGTCCAGTTCATCAGACCTGAAAAGGTCTAATGAATTGAATCATGATTACAATTAATAAATAAATTGTGTTTGTTATTTTTGTTGTAAATTCTCAAGGATAAAAAATATATAAATTCACTTTCATTATATGTTTAGATTTTATTAAAATTCTAATCAATTGTTTTTTAAAAATGTACACATTGCTGAAGAGCAAAGATAGTTAAAATAATCCTAGTGTCAATGGAAGAAATATCCTTTTCACAATGTTTTTTTTGTTTTTTTTTTTTTTGTAGGTCCAAATGTGCAATTTTTCCAAAACATTTATCCTAAAAAATTTCTATTTGCTGAAAAACCTCTTTTTTTAGTAATTATCAATTTTTAGGATCATCTAATTATTGCACTTGTCCCTCCCTTTCTTAGTTCACACGAGAGTAATACCCTTCCAATACCTCATAAATAATGGACCATTCCATTTTGAATGGATCAAAAGACAGACATATCAGAAATGCTACTTGGTTTCAGTGAAAAAGAGAAAGAAAGAACAGGATGTAGAAGTATTTAACGACTGTTTCAGTGAAATAGAAAATGTTGTCCATTTCAAATCTTTTCATTTGTACCCACTTCTTAAAATAATAACCTGTATTCATATTTATGATTGTTATTGCAATATTTTGTTAAAGTTGTTAAGCTCAGTTATTTAATGATGCAATATGGTTATTTCTCCAAATCTTTTAATGTCATATAACTTACCATGAACTGATTCAATCATTACCCAAAAAATTAAGATTCATCAGAAATTTCAAATAGGAAAACCATGAAATTTCCATTGATTAAAACTAGTAAAATATTATTAACATTAATAACTTAATCATTACAAAAAAAATCCCTAACAGTAATGGATTCATATTGTAACCATAAAAGTAAATATATTGCTTAAACATGAATTGAATTTCAGTAAAAATGACACTAGTGGAATGAGATAAAAATCTGGCACCATTACTTCATTATACAAATTTACCTAAATGCCACAACAGAACACTTGCCACCTGAAGTCAACTGACTCTCCCACACTACCTCTAGACTCACCAGAGTAAACAAACATTTTTTTTTTAATTATTTCACCCTGAGCAAGGTGATAAAGGCACTGAGAAGCAAAGAGGGTTACTGATAGAGAAAGAAACTATGAAAATGTTATTGAGGAGGGAGGAAAATAAAGAACAGGATTCAGGAAGACAGAAGAAATGATGTTGCATTTAAATTTTTGAAGATCGTAATTGACAGGAAAATAAGAAGCCAGAAGAGGGTTCCACAAAGGAAAAGCATCATAGACGATTATGTCTAGCAATTTAATCATTAAAATTATGAGACCTAGCAGCCAATCTAGTACTGCACTTAAATTCATAAAGTCTAAGCAGCATAGAGGAAAGTAATAATTATTTTGAAAAATACAAAAATGTAGGACATGGCCAAAAGTGGGAATAAAGGAAGACTGGTCTCCAATCTGTTTTTTCTTAAACTTAGCTAACCATGATGACTGACCTATTTTCACCAATAACACTGATTTATTTATGGCTGACATTGATCCGTCTTAATGAAACACCCTTATAGATAATCTGTCTTAATTAAACACCCTTTATTTATAGAAAAGGAAAAAGGAAGGTACATTGCATCAGGGATTGAAACCAAGAGGACTGCCACAGAGAAAATGCATATTCAGTTCCTGATCACTGCATTAGAGGAAATATTGCAGTAAAAAATAGAATTTTTTCTCTTTCCAGTGGATATAAAAGTTTTCTTTAAAAACAAATGCAGTCATTTGACTATGCCAAAGCAGTAGGACTTTTAAAAAAGCAAAAATCAATGAAAATAATTTATTGCTACTAAAATGTGACACAAATACACAAAATGAGCAAATAATGTTGTCAAAGTCATGTGCCAAACAACTTGCTTGTCACAGGACTGCCTAAAAGCTCAGGGAAAAAAGTCCATTGTCCGTGAGATACAATAAAGTAAAAGCTAATAAAAATGAACTATGCCACTACATGGTTTATAATTAACTTTGAACATTTTTGGAATTTCTTTCATGTCCTCCACAAGAAAACTCCAATCAACTCACAGCTGCTCTTAACCCTTCGTAGTCATCTTTAACCATTGTTTGATGATTTGATGTATTATGTATGATGTTTTATTGAAAATTTAGGATATGTATATTTTCATTGTGCATTATTAATAAGTATTTGTCGAGTTACTTATATTTATTTATTGTGTTGGTTCATAATTTAATGGAAGAATTATTGCAGAAATGTCAAGTTAGTCAATGAGATAATGTAATCACTGTGTAACCAATATATGAGTTGTTTGAATTTTTATTATTATAGAGAGACATTCTCCAAGAAAGCAAACATCAGCAACATTGATTTCTTGAACTTTTGATGTTTTGCCTTCATGGCAATGTTTATGTTAGGGGGTTTTCATATTTTTATGATACAGGATGAGCTTAATCTATGTTGGTCAATAGGGCATATGTAACTTTGCATTAAGTATCTTATATTATTTTATTGAAATCTTTGACTATCGTACTATTTGTTTATAGTTGGTTTTAATTTCTTAATTTTAGTTTTATCTCTCTCTCTCTCTCTCTCTCTCTCTCTCTCTCTCTTTCTGTCTAACGTGGGACTCATTCACACACTTATATATATACATACATACATACATATATATATATATATATATATATATATATATATATATATATATATATATACAAAAGTGAACATAGAAATCAACACTCAGAGGCAACAGGTTGAATGTTGACTTCTATGTTCACTTTGATATCTATATTTACATATGCTCTATCTATGATATTGAGCACTTTATCCCATAAATATTGCATACCTTAAAACTGTATTTCTTCATATGTCGGCTTTCTTTGCAAGCTCCAGGGTTATGGTATTACAGGTAAATTGTTTGACCTAATACAATCATATATATATATGAAAGGCTCTATGATATGCATAGGTGTGTAGACGTGTGTGTGTACATATGTGTGTGTATGTGTACACAAGTAGGCCTATATATTAATGGGAGTGTATATATATATATATATATATATATATATATATATATATGTACAAGTATTAAAAAAATAATAAGGAGTCTAATACATATATATGCCTGGGTAGGTGTATATGTAAGTAAACATATGTAACAGTGTATATACATATGCATGTATGTGTGCATGCATGTTTATAATATATATATATATGTGTGTGTATGTTGGGGGTGGATATGTTATTGTGGACATTGTGTGCTATTAATAACACTTAATGCCGTCTCTTAACTGGTTGATTTGTCATAATCCACTTTTTATGTTTTTTTTTTCTTTTCTGAGGTGTGTCTCTTGACAGTTTTTGCTAGGCTACTTTCATTGTTATGCTATGAGAGAGTTATTGGCATGTGATTTGGGGAAGAAAGGAAAATCCGA